GTTTTTCCTGATGATCGAATGACTAAGCAACGCAGGGCATCGGTTCTTCCGTCATTACTCGAAGCTTGCGACAACTGCGGGTTGAATTTCTGCTGCGACTCCGCATCCTCGCGTTTAACTTCAGTTACTGACTTTGGTCACATCGCGGAAAGCCACGAATTTCACGGCAGAATTTCATTTTTGCGTTATCACCATTCCCAGAAATCTGATTTTTTCCGAGGTATCGATTTTCCCTTAGTTTCGACGGAGTAAAGCGAATCGTTTAAATGCCGGATTGCATTTGAATATTAGGTAAGTTACCGATACTTGCCTTACCTGTTACCTCGTGTGAAGATAAATTGTCGGAAAAGAGGCAGCTGCGACTGAATTCAGAGAGAGAGGAGCAGGGATGTCACTAACTCCATTCTACTGGTGCTGAAAGTAAACGATGATGTTCCATGCGAAATCCTTGGCAAGCTAGAACCTCTTGTCTATATCAGATGTGAGCATCGAGATCAAGTGGAGATAAGAACAGCAGTGATCGATTAACGAAAAGGAACACTCGTTTTCCGCCTTTCTCAGGTAGATAAATGAGTACCACTTATAGGAAAAGTAACAGCTAGACTAACACTAGACTTTTTCAAAGCCTCATAGTCGCTTGTTGTAAAGTTGCCATTGACGTATGATGAACTGATTTTTGTTTACATTCCGGTGTATACTATCTTCTGAAGCTCATGCTAATTCAATGACAATGTTTAACATACAAGTCTTCAGGCAAGTTTGTCATGAAGATGACTATGGGTTCAAACAAGACGCTTCGGTAAATTTCTTTATTTAAAGCTAAGATTAGAAGTGTTGCATTTTGCAGTCAGTTACAAAAATCTGTTTACAGTTATATTTATAATAGAGCATGACTGTCATTGTACCAGCTTATATAGCAAATTCTAACTGAGACTTTGCTTCTAGGAGCCATTTTGGGCAGGCGAAGAGTCAGTGATATTTTTGAATCTGCAGTGTATGGATGCAATGTCATACATGTTCATGGCACAAATGGGTGACCACACGCACGTTGATCATGATCAGGGTAGAATGACCGGTTGAACCTGGGCAGAAAACGGGATATTGCTTGCCCTGAAAGACTTAGACATTAATTAGGAATTTTTGCACGGCGCTTGCGTTTGAATCCACATTTCTAAAGTGGAACACTGAATGACTTCCGTCAGCACCATACCTCCTTTACAATAATGTCTTCGTCACTTGCAGCATAGGTTGAGATTTTTTCATCGCTATCTTACGGAGCAGGACTGAGTTACACCGTTGCTTCTTGAGTAGAGACGTGTGACTTCAGGGCATGATCTTTGAGCTTATTTTTGTTTAGAAGGATTGGAAAAGGCAAATTCCCAAATGGACAGCTGGATCGAGCTGAACGCACTAGGCAGTGACGATAGCGGCAGCAGCGTCACGTTGTGCACAGATCCAGGTCTACTGATCGACGCCCAACGCAGCTACTGTTCTTCGCACCGCGACAGTCGTCAGAGGTGAGTCGTCGTTGTGGTGTTAATAATATTAATATAATAATTAGTGATGTTATCTTGATATATATCGTATAATTCTTCGCGTTTCAGCCCAAGAAGTCTGCA